TCGTGGGATCAGACGACACTGCTGTTTGGTATGTCGAAGGACAGCACGGAGGTAATTCGAGCAAAGCATGAACATCGACTGTGGACATTTGACGCGCACAACATCGGTAGCGTTCAAGTCACCAAGAAGCCTACAGCTGTTAGGAAGCAGGTAGTGGCAAATTTTGCGGTGCCGGATGGAGTCGAGGACATCGACGTCTGACATGCGCGTCTGGGGCACACATGCCCGGAGTACATTCGCCTTATGGTCGAGCGTGGATTGGCCAAGGGCATCATGCTGAAGAAGCGTGGGAAGATGGATTGCACTGACTGCTATTTCGGCAAGCAGAGACGCAAAACCTTCTGGAAGCAGTTGGAGCGGAACATCGAAAAAGTGAACGACTTAGTGTTTGCCGATTTACTGATACCTGGACTTCACAACGGCACACAGTACAGTGCAGTGTTAGTCATAATGGATGGTTTCTCTCGTTTCATTACAACGTACCTGCTGAAGTCGAAGACTGAAGGCGAGGTGAATGGATACATGAAGCAATACATTGCCTGGGCTGAGCGGCAACACGGACGTCGTGTTGATACAGTGATCACTCGACGGTGGGATGCTGCAGCTCGTGACAAGAACGATACCAACATTGGGCCCGTGAAGCAAGTTCTCACGGACAAGGGCAAGGAATTCTGCAACAACTCAATGGAGAGCTGGTATGCTGAGAAAGGAATTGTCCACACGAAGGTTGGTCCAAAATCTTCACAGTTGAATTTAGTGGAGAGGGCACATCAGACACAGATTAACATGGTCGAGACTATGATGCACGACTCGGGGTTTCCGAGGTCGTTTTGGACGCATGCTCTACAGACTGCAGTCTATCTAAAGAATCGAGTCTTCTGTACGGGAGCACGGCGACCCCGTACGAGATGATGTACGGCACGAAGCCAGATCTTCATCACATCCGCTCGTTTGGATCTCTGGTGTACTGTCATACACCGGCCGCAATGCGCAAGAAACTAAGTGCGAGCTGCAAAGTGGGTTTTTTGATCGCCTATTATGAAGATGCTGTTGGCTGCCAAGTGTACTTCCCTACCGAGCATTAGAAAGGCTTCGTTGCAGATGTGAAGGTAAATGAAAACATCAAGTACAAGGACCGCTATGGGAGTGCCTTCAAGTCGAAGGTGAACAAGTGGATGCAGACTTTCGATGAGTTTGTGCAGGATGGTGCTTTCGATGATGCAGAAAGTGATAGTGATGAAGCGCCTCAACAAGCCGAGTGTGACGCAGACTCCGTGCGAGCTGATAGTAATGTAGACATGGAGAGTGTGGCTACAAGCGACGGCCTTGATGTTGCTCAAGAGGCTTTGTGGGACAATATTGTGGAGAGCATTGTACTACCCAAGTACGACCAGCCATCGAGCAACACGCCGAGCAGTAAACTGGGTGAACATTATGGGAGGACATCCTAAAGAACAACTCGCTTCCAGACTACGATGATGCGTTTGAAGATACGCAGGAGGGAGAAAATACAACCATTGTGGAAGATGATGGACTGGACATTAGTCATGTGTCGGGGCTAACACCAGTAATTGAGAGCGAGGAGAGCGAATGCAACGGCTACGACTGCTTGTTCGACCCGAGTGACGAAATAGAAGCCGACTATGAAGGCATGAGTGATGAAATGGATGATCCACCAGGACCCGGAGGTGGTGCTCTCGCGTTTTCTCAGCAGTTACTAGTGGGCAAGGTGCATCCGAGAGATGAAGAAGTTCGCCGTGCGCAAGGCCGGAAGCGTGCAACAGCAGCACGACGACCAGGACTGCGCGAAGTTTTAAATACTCGCAAACCTGAACGATACAAAGACTTTGCGGTTTACTCAGCTTTGAAGGCACTGCATGTAGATCGCCGTGGCAAAAGTGGACTACGCGCAAGTGACATCAAGATACCACGAAACTACAGAGAGGCACTGAGATCAAAGCAAGCAAGTTTCTGGAAGGAGGCTATGGACAAGGAGATGGCTTCACTGAAGTCCAAGGACGTGCTGTTGCAGATTTCAAGAACGGAGATGCCAGCAGGACAGCATCCTATCAAGACGATGTGGGTTGTTGACGTTGAGACCGATCATTTAGGATACAGTGTGACTTTCAAAGCACGCGTCGTAGCCCGAAGAGATAAGCAACGTTTCGGAATTGACTTCACGGACACATTCTCACCGGTTGCACGCATGGCGACATTCAAAATGTTTGCTGCGGTATGCATCATTCTAAATCAAGTGATCTACCAGGGCGACGTAAACACAGCGTACCTCAATGCTGCGCTTGGAATAAAGCAGTATTTGGAGGGAGTCCAGCGCTACCCGTGCGAGGATGGCGGGATGATGTACATCAGCAACAAGGCACTGTACGGACTACGCCAGTCCGGAAGAGATTGGAATTAAGAGGTGACTAGTTGGTTTATGAACTATGGGTTCAAGCAGTGCGAGACTGAGCCATGTCTCTACTTTTACGACAAAGATGGCGAGTTTGCCATGGTTGTTCTCTATGTCGACGACATCTTGTGCGCGACCAAGAGTAAAGAATTTAAGAAGAATATGTTTGAGAAGCTGGACAAGGACTATGGCTTGAAGGACCAAGGTCTACTCAACACTTATTTGGGCGTGCAGGTGGAACAGAGTGAAAACTCCATCAAAATACACCAAACCAAGTTTTGTGACGAGATTACTGAGCGCTTTCACTTCAATGGTGCGCATCCCAGTAGGATCCCGTTGGAGACGCCTTTTTTAATCGTCTTACCGTGAAGGACACTGACACATACCAGCGCAAGCAGGTGGCTTAGAGCGGCTAGAACTTTCCGTATCGTGAACCGGTGGGGTCGTTAATGTACCTGACGACCTGCACTCGCCCAGACCTAACTTTTTTGCTGTTAGACAACTCAGTCGCTACGTTCAAAATCCTATGCAGCAGCACCTTGGCGCTGCCAAGCGAGTGCCACGGTACCTAACCGGAACCAAAACCCAAGAAATTGTGTACACCCGTGCCAAAGCAGCAGAGCAAAACAAGGAACTAATTATCGACGGCTACTGTGACTCGGATTGGGGGAAAGACCCCGATACACGCAAAAGCATAACAGGTTTTGTCCACTGTATGGCTGGTGGAGCGATATTTTGGGCGTCGAGGCGCCAGAGCATTGTTGCTCAATCTACCGCAGAGGCGGAGTACGTAGCTGCGTGCGAGGCTTGTATGGAAGGCCAAGGATTACGCAACGTTCAAGTTTCCCCAGACTTGAAGACCAATTTTCGCATGGGAATTGATAACCAGGCCGCTTACGTCATGGCGACGAGCCCGACCTACAGTCGCAGAACGCGACACATCGAGCTACGATGGCACTACATCAGATACCAAGTAGCTAAACGAACCGTGAATTTGTGGAAGGTCAAAACTGAGGTGAGCCCTTCCGACATTATGTAAAAAGCACTGGCCGGCGAGAGACTCGAGGCATTGTGCGGCATGATCGGTTTGTCGAAGCAGCATCCTCCTCAGTGACCGATTCACTTCGGAGGAGGGCGTTTTGGAAACCGCATCCAGGTTGAAGCAGAATGAGCTCTTTAAATCGTCTTTTGGAACTAGCTAGCAGAGTGATGGTCAGAAAGGCAGCCCAGTGCGGAATCGCCGCACTGCTGCCAATCCGAAAGTTTCCTTTAACCCAACAAGTTGTGTGTGAGTGCGTTAGATCTGCGTTCTGTTAAAGCCAATCAAAGGGGTAGCCGCGAAAGCACGATTTAAGACCCTGCTTAATAAGCATCGTGCATAGGAATCTAAGTCTTCGACCAAGTCGGGGACGGACGAGCCAGAAACTTCATTCATTCGTGCCATGACTGATCTCATGTCTAACGTTGACGACTACGAAGCCAGAGTTGCAAAAGGTGCTGCTGAAAAACGTGGTGAACAACGAGCCAAAACTCAATCAGGCGAAGCTGTTCGTCAAGCTGCTGTCGCTCATATACGACTTGGTAAAACGTCAAGTCCGTCCGGGCGACGTCGACGAAGGGAGCGACGGCGCAGGGTCTTCACACTCTCATCGGCGAACCTCCTACCGTGCAAAGGATACAAACGAGCGGGTCATGATTCTTGAGGAATCGAGAAAAGAGCGATCAAAAGTATTTCCAGATTTTCTGGAAGAGCAGCACTTGAATCAGAAACTTCGTCTTGACTTTGAAAGAGAGGAGCGAGAAAGAGACCGAATCGAACGCGAGCGAGAGAGATGAACGCAGATTGGAGCGAAAAGAACGCCAAAAAGAGCGCGAAGTCCAATCCAAATTGATTGAACGTTTGCTGGAGCGCTTTGACAGTAAGTCCGACTAGGTTCTGCTTGTGGTAAGCGAACTTGGCAGGGTTTGCGGAAGTACTCTTCTAGCGTTGGTGGTAGGCAGCTAGAAAAAAAAACTTGCTAATTTGATTTCCCGAGAATGCATGTCATTGCGTTTGTAAGTAGCGCAGCTGTCCGAACCATTCGAGGCTACGGGAGTAAGCAAGATTTGGTGCTTCTTATTCCAGTCGAGAAACGCCCATTTGTTCTTTACCACACCAAAGAACCACTCCATCGATACACGCGACTTGCTCATCACAACATTGAAGCGTTTTTCAGCGCTAGTCACGTACGCATTTCGAGAGGGGCTGCACAATAACTCGCTTATACCGTATACCGGATCGCCGTAAATGATGACGCCTAGATCTTTCACCAATTCGTTGCCAGCAAGGTGGGGTAGAAGCAATCTCTCACGAAGCATGGTGGAGTCGTGGAGACGTCCTTCAATTAGGCGATAGAACGGAATGCACAAACCGGTAGCAAACACAATCATCATTATGATTAATATCCATCAAATAATATTTTCGGTGCACAACCCAGTAATTGCTTTACCATCCGGTGTGCTGACGCCTTAATAGTTTAGACAATGTCGCTGCTTATGGTCGTTGTAGCAAACCTTTTGGGGGTTTTCCCTTTCACCGACAGGGATGGCATCATGCGCACCTTGCAGTGCGATGAGTACGCTTGCCCGGGCGACAGATAAACCATTTCGTCCCATCGATGACCATCGAGATTTTGTCAACCAGATCGTCGGTTTTAGTAAAGACGGCATCCACATAGAGCTGGCGCCGCTCAGCGTTCAGTAGGTCATGGAAAAACAAAGTGTCCTTCCATTCATTGTCCAAGAAGCAGTCTAGAATATCAAGCTTACAAGTAGTTCAACCTGTAAAGATGCACATGGTTCACAATAGAGTTATGCACTTACAGGTGTCAGTAATGATACGACTGCAGACTGGGTCCGAACTGCCTTCGAATTCGTAACAGCTTACCAGGATATGAGATACGGTAGCACAGCATTGCCAATGCTTCGATGCCTAGGAGGCGATCGCCAGAGTCAGTGATGAACACGTTAAGTATGTTTATGACAGAAGCCAGTTGCATAAGCTCCGCGCACGTAAACCGAAAGTCCATGAGAGCGTTAGCATCCGGATATGTATTGAAATTGAAGTGGACATCAGGGACTAGAGGTCGCTCCACGTATTTCTTGCACTCTTTTAGCAGCAGAATGGCATCCGTGTCATCCAGCGTGGCTAACAGAAGCAAGAATGACGTTGCGTCTGTACCTATCAGATCTCCCATCGGCGCTAACGCAGCTCACAACACCAAACAAATCGTATCCCTGTTCCTTAGAGGGGGCAGGGGCAGCGTCTCCGCTAAGAAGTCACGAAGCTGGTGTCTTCCCACCGGGTTTCCACCACAACCTCTTTCTTATGAGCCTAATCGTCCAAACATGTTTGCCCGGGCCTCTCGTCACGCAGCTGGTAGTTGGGGACGGCTTCGCCGGCTTACTTTGCAACGGGCAGCTTGGAGCCGTTTTTGACTCGGGAGTCTTTTGCCCCGGGTGGATTGAGTCAAGGTGCGCGCTACTTCGTCACGACCAGCTTGAATATCACGGCGCTGGAAACGGTCTCCGCTGTGGCCGTCTACACGACGGTTTTGGGGGCAAGGAACGAGCTTCTCTATGACAAGCGGGATCTGGGTTTCGAGAGTTCTCCGCGTTTCTCTGACTACTTTGAGATTATATTAATATTATTCATTTCCCAAGGAAAACCTTTATAAAAATGATATGCATTAGCTACAATGATTCGTTTCCTGTATCCTACAGCGTTGGCTCTCCGAAATGTAACTTGGAGTGTCTGTCGGTTATCTAGAGCTATCCCACTACACACATCCAACAGTCGCCTCGAAAGGGGTCTATTCCTGTCAGGGGTCCCGAAAAAATATTACTCATTAAAATTAATTCGAATTATATATTTAAACTATTCATTTAAAACTTCAATTCATTACTGTAGTGCACCAATTTATATATGAATTTACAGCCTAGAAGCTCCACTACCAACAATACCACCCCTTAGCCCTCCATCTTTCGTTGTGTTTGCTCCCTAACGTCTCTAAATACTTAGCTCATTCTCAAATTCGCTTCCAAGCTCTCATCTAGCCACCTTCAAGCTCTCAGCCAACCTCTCGGTCCACAGTGGTGCTTACGAGTATCCAGATGTGCTTCATGCTTTTCACCGCAGCTGGAGACAACATGCATACCTGAACGACATGTGTCAAAACCTACAAGAAGAGAATTGGCTACACGAACCTACTCAATCACCTGCGTCGCAATCACACCGATTACGAGCAAGAGGCCCAGGAAGCCGCACGCCGCCATAACCATTCAAAATACGCCTCGCCGACCAGCAAACTCGATATCTATACCGCTGGCTGGAGTGGGCTATCTCCGGCCGGCTCCCGTTCGAGCTCCTTGAACACCGCCTCACGAGGCTGAATTCCGCTCTCTCTACAATCTCGGAGGACCATCTGTCAAAGTACGTGAGGAAAGTGAGCGAGCTGTCGAAGCCCGAGAATCGAAAATCAATCATTGCAGTGTACAACACAGATAGGATTTACCGGTAATTCCAGTGTTCAGACTTCAAGTGACTATTTCGACGACTTGGATTGCACGTCCCGCCGGTTCCTTCTCTTCGGCGTTCTCTCCTGCTGAATCTGAAGAAGATCTGATAGCGCAGAGCCAGTTCGCCCTAATTGCAGACGCTCGCTCTCGCTACAACAAGCCCTGGGACGCGGTTAAGTCCATGGTGTGAGATAATTGTTCGGCGAACCAGTAATATGGTAACAAGGATGGCGCTATTCCATTGATCGGCGGTGCTAGCCACAGATCTAGTCGGTCCGTGAAGGTTTTTCTCCAGGAGGAGGACGGGCTGATCACGGAGGCTAACGCGCTGATGGCCAAGCTTCTGACTATTAAGGGTAGATCAATTATACGCCGCGTCTCCCATCTGTCTCCGCTCCTGCGGAATGACACCAGATGATCGAATACGTACGAGATGATCGAGAGGCACGTGAAGCTCCAGCCGTCCATAGTTCAGCTGGGTCACGGAATGCTTCTGTAGCATGGGGTCCAGCCCTTGATGCTACGATGGGCCGAGAGCGAACGCGTCAAGGTGTTGATCAATGACCTCTCTGCTTTTGAGGCGGTTACCAAGACGTGACAGAAGACTACGCTAACACAATCGGCAGTGCGTCGTCGATTCGACAAAGTTATCCAGCATTACTCGTCCCTGAAGCCTCGGCTAGTTGTGACAGCTGCCATCGTTTACTATCCCGATTTAAAGCAAGCTTTCGTCTAGCTGCAGCGAGGTGAGGCAATAAAATTAGCTGAGAGGACCGCCTGTGCAGAATTTATAGCGCCGAGGTTGGAGCAAACACCCGCAAGAAGCGATGACGACTCTTCAATTGTCAAGGCTGCATTCGAGAGACGCAAGGTTGCTAAGCGCTCGCATTTCGTGGATATGACCTATATTCCACCGACTTGGAATGAGCGAGCTCTTCTTTTCTTCGGCCAAGCTCGTGTTGTCGGACCTGCGGGAGCGAATGACCACTCCCCCCCCTTCTCTCAGAAGCCGGAGATAGTGATATGTCTGATGTACAACCGCGACATGTGGGAGTTGATGAGGTACAAGCAAGAATTGGGAGGAATCATACAAATAATCAAATTATTCATTTCTTCTCTTGACGGAAAAGTATTAACCTAAGTATTGAATTTCGAGACAGCACAAGTCATTGCATGTTAGCATCATGCTCATTTAAAATCAAGTCGCAGAAGGCATCGACATCGGTATACGAAATGAATAATTGGGCCGATATTTGGAGAATTTATATCTAAAAAGGGTGTCAATTCCAAAAAAGTAGATCAATTCTTAAGTTTCAAGATTTGAGCGTTAAAGGGAGGCAATCTGGCGGCAACATTTATGCTGCTTATGCTAGTGGTATTCGCAAAAAATGAAAGGTATGCTCGCCTCTTAGTATTAGTGGCATAAGAGCATCTTCACCAATATGACTATTCTATCCTGGCCAGAACTTTCAAAAAGAGCCAATGCTAATAATGGAAAAAGCAATCACGAGGTCGTTTACCTACAAAGACGGCTATTTACCATCTGCAGCTCCAACGTTCACGCAATGAATCTGAGCCACGCCTACAAGCTCACGGAATCATTGCTAGCCGAGGCCGAGGAAGAAGAAGTAAACGAATTACTATTCAATGCACGGCCTCCAGATAATGGCATCAAGCGCTTTCATGGTGGTTCGCTTCCTGATCGAGCAGCCAACAAAAAGTAGGATTGGATTGGCCGTCACGCTCGACTGCTTCAACAGAACGTTTTATGGACGCAGTATTCGACGGTATAACATTCCGAAGGCGCTATCGAATGTCGCGGTTTGTTTGACAAGCTTGGATTGGGTGGTCTCAATTATTACCCATATTTTGAACAAAAACGAAATACAGCAGGGAAAATCCTCAATCTTTTGAATATCACCGCCGCACCGCTCATTTTGGCTTATTCCTCGTCTTTTATGCTATTGAGAAAATCTAGAGATGTCAGGTCCAAAGGTTAGTCAAGCATTTATGCGACGCAGTTGCTGCAGTCTTTGCCGACGAGTACTTGCGCCCGCCGTATCATGTTGAATTGGAACGCTTACTCGATCAGAATGCTAAGCGCGGATTCCCCGGGATGGCTGGTGGTATTAATTGCATGCATTGGCAGTAGAAGAATTGCCCAGTATCCCTGGCTGGTCAGTATGAAGAAAAGAAAGCAAAACTAAGTTCTTGAAGCTGTCGCCGACTACGTATGGCGCACTTGGTGCTACAAATTTGTGGCACCAGGTTCTCTAGCTGACATTAACATATTTGAACAATTTCGCATTTATGACTCAATCGTAGGTGGAGAGACATTGAAAGTCGAATATACCGTCAATGGTACGTTATCAAAACACTGTTGTATTTAGAAATACAAAATACTGATATTATCTCTCTTTTTTTAGGAAACTCATACGACATGCTCTATTTACTGGCTGGTTAGGATACAACCGCAAGTTATTTGCTAAAGGTCAGGAATTAAATCGTAAATTAACAAGCTCCCTCCCTGGGAAATGATTTGTTTATCACAAAGATTGTATGAGAGGAGGGCCAGAAAAACGTTTTGAATTTATTTACTTAGCTGCAAGAGTCCTACACTGTGATAATGCATACTAACGCCAAAGACAGGTCCTGGTTCTCGGCTACGCTACGCTCTGCGCTAGAAACATCTACTGTAGCCTGTCGGGGTGCTGCATGAGTTTTGTGCTGACACTCAGACCACCCACATTTACAAAGGAACCACAGGTCTTGACCGTAACATACCGTCGTTTCCTCTCCAGGATAGATATCTCTACCCTGTAACCCGCACAAACGGCCCGCGAATTCCAAGCTTGGGCCCTC